CCTTGCCCCTCACCTGCCAGGACTCTCATTTCGAGCCTTACAGGTCCCAATGCAAGCCAAGTACATCCCCAGTTTTTTCTCCATAAGAAACTATAAACAAACAATTGCAACAGTGAGATAAAATGTGATTTTTATCTCACTTTGAGTCCCAACCTCCAAAAAGTAAAAGCACAAGAGAGGAAAAAATGGAAAAGGCACAGATAAGGAGAGCTGAAAATGAAAGCCCACTAGGTCTCCAGGATTGTACCTCATCTCACTGAGAGGGCGATTCCTTGAAGGACTACAGTACCTCGGGATTGCTACATCTGTATTCACAAAGAGTTAGACCCTGAGGGCAAGAGTTAATTTAATTTGGATGGTAAGCAGAAAACTTATTTTTTAAAAAGTAAGGAGTTTGAAAAGGAAACAGATAATTTACCGTGGAAAAGAACTAAAAAGCTATCTGTCACAAAAAATATAATTTCATGAATGCCTAACTTACTGAAAATGTCTTATAACCATATTTCAGATGGAGACACAAACAATCAATTCAAATGAAAGGAACGAAACCCAGTACAAACTATTAGCAGATTCTAACTGGATACTAGCAGACATTAAAAGAGAAATCCTTGTCCAAACCAGATTGTATACATTTCTGCAAAAAGTTAATCAGAAAATAATGATTTTTTTTTAGATTTTAGTGTGCTAGGCAACTGGTCACTACACATGTTTTTATACTGGAAGAGAACTAACTGCTTATAGAGACTATTTGTTTAATAAAAATCAAGTTATTAATCATCTTTACAACATTAAAAACTTTTATAGTTGATAAAAAACAAGTTAAAAGAAGCATGCATGCTCTGCCCATGATGCTGAATTCCATTACTCACATAGTTACTTCACAGTTTTAACTATACGAAATAATGCAGTTAAATAAACAATTAGAAAGTAAATAAGTTTAAACGTTAAACTACCACGAGATCATAAATTAATTAAAATACTAAAGCTTTGATTTTATCCTGACTGCAGAGAAAAACTTCTTGGAAATAATAATTGAAAGAAGATAAGATTAACAGATTTTATAGGAATTAAATGTTCCAAATTGTATTCTATGTATTAGAGTGATACACATGCCCCATATTTATGGAATAAAAGAATTTAATATGTTAAAGTAGCACGTAGAAAATTTGACTCGTTAATCAACAGAAAATAACGATTATTTTTTTTATCTCCATGCAGTATCAAAATCCATCAGTTAAGAAGTATCAGAAGAAACAAATGAATCATACAACCATGAATTCCCACTGCTTCCTCAAATGTGATTTTTATCTGATGGCATCAAAGACTGAAGTTACATCCCTCAGAATTCAGCCACATTACTTTGAAAGTAATTAATGAAAAAATAATAATTAAACAAATTAATCGTACAATCATGAATTACCACTCTGCTTCATCAAATGTGATTTTTATCTGATGGCATCAAAGACTGAAGTTGCATCTTTCAGAATTCAACATTACTTTAAAAGTAAATTATTAAAAAATAAATAAAAAAAAAAAAAAAAAAAAAAACGATAAAGAAACTGTTAAGATAGAGCAGAGGCATTCAGTGGTTTTATACTGACTTGACAACAGGTAAGCTAGTAGTATGAAGTCCAAAATCCGGACTCGTTGGGACTTTGGCAATTCCGCATTTTTCCAGATATTAGACCATAAATTTAAATCTGGTAAGATCGCATGCAAAAAAATTATAAAATTAAAAATATGAAACCGTAATTTATGAAATAAAGAACAATTATGATCTAAAAGGGTATCAAAAATTTACAAAAAAAAAAAAAAAAAAAAAAACAAATTTTTTCAATGTAAGTTGTTTAAGTTGCTTCTATAAAAAAATTCAAAAAGTTAATTTTTTTTGTCATATATAGTTGAGTTTCCAATGCCATACTCCTCACATAATTTTGAGACGGATATGCCTTTATCCATTTTTTGCAGCAATTCCACTTTTTGTTTAATGGACATCAAAACATGGTTTTGCTTTGTAGATACTTTGGCAGCTCCAAAATTGGAAAGTTCAAGCTTAATTTTTATAAAATTGTTGTAATAATAACAGTCTGCAAAAAATAATATACTGGATCAAATTAGAAGATTAAGGAGCAGCACAGTCTGCTACATTAACTGAAACGCCTCAGAATCAGTTAAGATAATTTTAGCCTAGCTTAAAAGCGTTCGTTATAAATTATTGGCTGTGTATCACAAGATTGGCAATGAAAGCCAAGTTGTTTTGCTAAATTTTGTCTTGCTCCTATTGCGTACTGAATTAAGCCTGAATTGTATTAGTTTAGTTATTTACTATACCTATGTTTATTTCTTGCACATGCTTAAAACTAATCTGAGTCCTAAATAAATAACTCCCACATATACTTAAGGCCTTATCTAGGGCCAGTGTTAGATACCACCTGGAGCAGTCTCTAAATTCTGCAACAAAGTGCCTTCTTAAGTTCTAAATTTTCGGCGCGCCGATCCCAGTGCTTTCCCCGCTAAATTATAAAAAAACTTCTCATCCCTTAATTTTGCCATTCGGTGCTTCCCCAAATTCCAAAAATTGTGTCTTCCCTAAATTCTACCGTCCAGTGCGGCTATATTCTGCCGCCACTTCTGGGATTATAGTGAATAACATATCAGTTACTCTTAATTAAAATAGAGCACTAAACGTAATCTTTTGGCCTATGAGTTTTATTAACAAAATCTATTTTTAGTATATGAAAAGAAATTTTTGTTGAATTTTTCTTAGATAATTTTCAACATTTCTTAGAGCGTTTAAAAATCTATAATCATCGCCAAGCGTAATGTTAGCATAAAAGGTTGCCAGACTCTTGTTATTCAATTCCTAATATAAAAAAAGGTTGAGACATCGCTGCATGAGTTATTGAAGCTGTCGTGTATTGATAAACATGGGGTAATGAAAGCAAAATACAATAAATAATGACTCGCCAAGTCGGCGTCAGGGATGTAAAATAGGTGAATGTTTGGATTTGAGATATATGCATCAGAGCATTGCAGATACTCAGCTACGGAGCCAAATTATTAATCTAAAAAAATTATGCTTGCATGATTGTTTTTCCATAACGAGGTACTTTAATTTAGTGCATAAGTGAAATTAAGAATCAGAATTTGTAAGTGAAAATCTCTACATGTTTTATTAAGGAAGGTAAAATCAAATGCGCATGCGTAAAGCGTACTACAAGAAAAAAAAAAAAAAAAAGTTTGTGGCTTTGGGGTCCGGATTTTAGATCATTTGACATCCAGATTTCGGACTTTATACTGTATTTACGCTTTTGCAGCTGAGGCTGATGGTTCGGTAAAACCATCGAAACTAGTTCTGTGAAAATTTGAAAATATAATGCTGATTTTTGTTGTTTGACTTCTAAATTAAGCTAGCTATGTTTGATATATGCTTCAAATAACAATTTTTGAAGCATATATCAAATGTACCATATACACAAATTTAAATAAATATATAAGTAAGCTCTTAGCATTTTTATGCAATAATATATCTAAACAAGTCCCCATTCATTATGCTTTTTTGGAAAAAATACAAGTGCAAGCAACACTCAACCTGGGTTGAAAATTAATTGAAATTTTATTCAATAATTTCATTATTTTCAATTTTTAATATTTTATCATTGATTTTATTTTCTTCCTATTCTGAGCTTGTTTGCAGTTATTTTTAATATCCTATATATATATATTAAATAGGGTCATTATTTTTTAACATTTGCATTAGCAGTAGTCTAGCTGTAAAACGACAAAATACAGTCAAAAGTCTTTAATCCGGACTCGTCGGGACTTCGGCGATTCCGGATTACAGATCATCAGTTTAAATCCGGTAAGATTGCATGCAAAAATTATAAAATTAAAAATATGAAACCGTAATTTATGAAATAAAGAACAATTATGATCTAAAGGGTATCAAAATTTACAAAAAAAAAAAAAAAAAAGCTTAATATTTATTTGTTTACTTTATTAAACATTTCTTTCAATGTAAGTTGTTTAAGTTGCTTCGTTTTATGTGATAATACTTTCTCTTTAATTCTATAAACAGACATAATTTCTTGTTCAGTTACAAAGTTCCGCTCTTCAAGTCCTATAATTGCTGTGTCGAGAATACCGACTAATTTGTCAATCGAAATTTTTTTGTTTTCAATAACCTCTGTGTCACTTTCTTCAGTATCGGAAGCGAATTATAATGATGAGGAATTTGATTTAAATCATATCAAAGATGGAGTACATCGAGATGAAATACTACATTTAGTAAGGAATTATAAGCCAAATAAAATAAAAACATCTGCCCTGAAGATAAGGATAGTGCTGACAGATCAACTTCCAATTCATTGGGCGCTGCGTCGTCCCCCCTCCCCACAGAGCAGCGTGAAATTGATAAACAGATTTCGGAATGGTTAGAGAAACAAAGGATATGCCTTCATCCATTTTTTGCAGCAATTCCACTTTTTGTTTGATGGACATCGACACATACTTTCGCTTTGTAGATCCTCTGGCAGCTCCAGCATCGGAAATTCTATTCGACATAATCGAAAGTTCAAGCCTACTTTTATAAAATTGCTCTAACAGTCTGCAAAATATAATAAGCCGGATCCAATATGAAGATTAAGGAACAACGCAATCTGCAACATGAACTGAAACAGATAATTTTAGCTTAGCTTATACCGTCCTTATACATTAAACGCGTATGCGTAAACGTATTATGCGCATGCATATAAGTATTACGTGCATGCGTGAATGCATTATGCATTGACGCATGAGCAGAAAGTTTGTAGCTTTTAGGTCCGGATTATAGATCATTCTGGATTAACAACTTTTGACTGTATATGAAGTTTGTGTTACTTCATTTTAATCCAATTTAGAGTTTTACATTATTTGTTGTCATTTATTTGCATATTTTTAAGAATTCACATTTTCTTACACTTTCTAAAAATTTATGATAAAAAATTATCTTACAAATAACATATGTTACAAATACAAAGTTTATTAAACATTCATTCTTTCGCATCACCAATACCATCAGCATTAATTGAAAACACAGCTTCTGCTTCAGGTAGACAAGGAGAATCATATATCTTGCAGATTCTTGTATCACCTCTACCTTTTCTTAAGTACAATCTGAAAAAATAAAAGCAAAGCCATCATCATGATATAATGAATATAAAAAATATTATTGAATTCTTTTTTGTTTACCATGAAAAAAAAAAAAAAAAAAAAAAAAAAAAAAAAAAAAAAAAAAAGGCTGTGTTCTACACAGTAAAATCTGTCAAAAAACATAGCTACCAAGCTTGAAATATGAAAAACTGGGAGGTTTCCGTGTTATATGGTGATGCAACTTTAAAAGAACTTTGACTTAAATTCACTTTATAATACAGGATTCAGGGTACTGAAGTATTGATAATTCAATTCTGATCTAAAATATACAGTGGTGATTGTGACCTCATATCAAAAGTCTTGAAAACTACCATGGGGTTAAAATCTGATATAATTTCAAATAATTAATACAAAACACATATGTGCATGAATACTCAAATATTTTCAAACAGATTTATTGAAGAAGCAAAATGTATAATATTTTTTAATATATGTTTCAGAACACAATTTCACACTGTTGCCTACTTTTTTGGTTTCTCACATATTTCAAAAAATAATTTGAAATTAAGTTTAACTTGCTTTTTTTTTTTACTACTACTACTAATTATTATTATTATTTACATTTATATTTTTGAGGGGTTTAATTTCTGGATTTTTCTTTGCTAACAACTGAAAGTTCAGCAAGATATTATGATTTTTTACTTAAACTTTTAAATATCAAATTAAAGATTGAAATATGCATATTGACAGGTGCTGCAGGTAAAGTACTGCTAAAAGGACAAGAATGATTCATTGCATGTTAAGAATTTTGGTAAGCTGTCCATTTAATCACTAAATCATGCCTCTGTTCTTTAACAATAAAGTACTCAGAAGGATCTTCTAACCCAGAAACTTTATGAAACACATGTATTTTTGTGCACTGAGAATAAATAATATTTCATGGTCAGTACAACAACTAGACCAGGAATTTTGAACCTTTTCCTTGCATCAACCCCCTGATTTTTCTCTCTCTATATAGCATACAACATTAAAATTGTTTAATTTAATCATTATATTTCCCTTGTTCAAAAACATTAAACCTGTTTCTTGTTTTTGTATGGTAAATTATTTACTCAATTAAAACCTGCTTCTACTAGGCAAGAAAAGGGGAAGAGTCAATAATGCTGGTTTGATAACCACTTTTATTTTGGGATATTTCCCTCAGGTGACTTTTAAATTCCAAGTGCAACCTTTTGCATCAAAATATCTAGATGAAATGTATCATAGTCCAACAATATTATGAGTCAGGCTGATATATTTAAAATTTCAATATCTTGGAAATCAACATTAAACTTGTCTTTAAAATTTAGGAAGATACTATAACATATTTTCTGAAAAATTTTGCATGCTTCATATTTTTGGTTGTGTTTTCTTGCATTCCTACATTTTATGTTTTCATATTGCAATTATCGCATAAAAATTTATACATTTTAACAAATATTATTGACTTAAAAAATAATATTTGATATTTAAAAATATCAAATAACTTTTGTGCATTTTCCCCTTAAATCCTTACTACATAATAAACTTTATATCAACAGACTATTAATCAACTTTAACAATAATTTTTTTGTAAACAATGGGATCTTGATTATAACACCTATCAATTACCAGTGCATCTTCAGCTACTGACCCTCTTTAAAGTTTCGCCGACCTGCAGGGTTCAATACCGACTTCATTTGTAATGCCTGATCTAGGTTATCAGTGTTCAAGAATGAGGATGTTTTACATTCCATCATTATATCATGCATATAATTAAATGAACTTTAAAAAATGGGTATATATGGAAGGAAATTAAAATGGATTTAATTAACTTTGTCAATACTGGGTATTTCTGCTTTCCATTTTCTGTTAGCCTAAATACTTTAGCTTCTGCTTGACTTCTCTCAATAATCTAAAAATTTTAAATTTATGTAATCTCTGAATGATATTTCTTCTAAAAGAAAATTTGTGAATGATAATGAGTTAAAAAAAAACTAATATGGAAGTCCTGGATTTTAGAAGGTTTAAATTTTATAATCCTGGCTATACCCAGACCCCAATCAGACTTGAATATATTAAAATTCAAAGTTTTATATTCTTCGGTTAATTTTATTTTGCAAATTTTGTGCCTTTTTATGCTGAGAAAATACCGAGTAGGGAAGAAAAGCCTTTATTTATTTTATTTTAAAAAGGATGAAAATCTCATTATAGATTTATTTAGTGGTCTCCACACTGTGTTCTGTGGAACCTTAGGGTCCCATGAATCAAGCCTTGGCTTTCCACAAGTTAAAAAGAGAATTATAAAGAATCGCATTGGTTGATTAGTATTTCCTAACTAAAAAAATACAAAAGCATATGTTTATCTTTAAAAATCAATCAGAAGCTTGGAAGTGTGGGCTGCTAACATCCATTACGTGACATCAGCAGTGATGTTCTTGGTTGCAGATTCTTGCAGAGTACCCAGACATTTCTCACAAAAATATAAACATTTTAATGTCATTCGGAACATATTTAACTGAAATATCTTAACGAATGTACATGGCAACAAAAAGCAAAATAGTGAAATAAATTAAACACAGAATATGAAATGTGATTGTAGATAACATCAATACACAGCTAGACTTTCACAAAAATGCAAGTACACCCCAGTCATTAAATATAATGCAAGACTGGAGCACGAGTTATGGCTATTAAGGAGTAATTACATTAATTTTATATTAATTTTTTTTTAATAAAAAGTGCAATACTTTCCTTAAATGATATTTATATAGAGTACCTATAATATTTTGATCTATTTAAAATATTATAAGATACACTTTTTTAAAAGTAGAATTGGGTTTCCTGAAAAAATCTCATTGTTCTAAGGGTTCTTCAATTCGACAAATCTTGAAGAATATTGAGTAAATCCAATAATTTTCACTGAGAGGCCATTTTAGACTTTCAGCATGTAGAGTTTGAAGCAATCACATTTAAATTTATTAATGTGCAGGGTGATTACATTACACATTATCATTACGATTAGGGTTATGGTCTGTGAAAATTGTAATATTAAGGAAAAATGCGGAAAATTTACTGGTAAATATTAAGTAAAAATAACTGCATCTTTGACTAAAAGGGAAAAAAGTTTCTTTTAAATATGTCCCATAGAAATATTTCATTCTTAATGTCTAAAATACAGTAGGTAGGATTGACAAATATATTCAAAATAGCTGCTTATGTATATAGAGATATTCCCATTTCAGAAAATTTCAGCTTCAGGTATTGGAGCAAAAATAGTACACATCAACTAATCTCTGTAAGTAAATAATGAAGAATCAGTATGTGCATATTCCTCGCACTGTGCAAAACAGTGGTACCTAGAGCCACCAAACTTTGAACACATAGTAATTTATCCAAGCATGAGCACCTTGAAACCTGAGTTTTGAATTTTTTTTTAATTTAATTTTATGTTCTGCATGAATTTAAAGAACTTTTGTTTAAAAATCGTAGTATTTTGATAGCAATGTGTAGTCACTTGGCGAAGTATAAAATATTTAAATATTTATGTTTTAAATGTAATGAGAAATCGTAGTGATATAAAAGATGTGTTTCCACTCTGCAAAATGAATATTATGAATCTGAATATTTGTCTTTTGAATTTAATTGCATCATGGAAAAATGGTGGCACCTACAGTCACCAAATTTTGAACACATATAATCTTCAAATTAAACATGCATGCCTTGAAACTTGAATTTGCTTTTTATTTACTTAATTTACTCTGTGAAAATTTAAGGAACTTTTTTAATTTAATTGCATCATGGATTTTTTATTTACTTAATTTACTCTGTAAAAATTGCTTTTTATTTACTTAATTTACTCTGTGAAAATTTAAGGAACTTTTTTAAATTTAATTGCATCATGGAAAATGCATCTATCTCAAATTTAAATTTAATTGCACTTTTTTTTTTTTTTGTTAAAAACTAAGACAGAAAATCTTTGCATTTTCACTCAGCAAAGAGTAAGATATTTATGCTTATGTAATCAGAAATTAAAATTTAATCAAAAAACTTAGCGATATAAAAGAAGTGACACTTGACAAAAGATAATATATTTGAAGTTTGAATTTAATCAAGAAACTCAGCTGCTTAAAGGAAATAGGCTGCCGCTTCCCGAATCAAAATATTTTCTTCCATGCAGCAGTGCACTGTCATTCAGCAGAGTACTTTTAATTTAGCATATTCATCACTCCGAAAATGTCCATTAGTTGAGGAGTTTCCTGAGGATTTGAATCTAATATTGGAGATTTGTAAAGGACTTTTCCTCCATGGCATGACCCTTCCCAAGCTGACAGTGAGCAAGCAAAAGTTCTTGTGGACAAAAGAATGTGAGGATGCATTTAAGAAACTGAAAGGGACTTTAACCCATTCAGGAGCAACGTCACGTAGGCACAATGCAACGATTTCACACTTACCAGCCCAGCATCGCTTATATGCAAAGAGCTCCGATCAATCTCTGCAGCCCAACGTCACGTATGCATAACTTCAAAATGGAATGATTAAAAAAAAATTTTTAAATGCCAATAGATGGTGCTAAATGGTAACAATTTTCACATTGGTTAAGTGGCTTTTGACCCTCATGTATGAGCATCAGTTTCTCTTCTGTGCTTCTGGTTTTGATAGATTTATTGGTATAAACATACTGGGGTTAAAAGTTAAAGAGACACCGACATATTTGTTTATTTTGTTAACAATTTCATTTTTTTGCTGTCTTTGTTTTTATTCTTTGCGTTTTTCGTTATTAGGAGGTGAGGAAGTGCACTAGCTCAGTGTTTTCATTTATTTATTTATTTATTGTTGTTGTTGTTAGGGGAACGTGGGAAAATGCATCTAGCTGAATATAGTGGGTGTAACATTGCGAACTTCCATGATGGAAAAACTCAGACCAGTTGTCCTTTTTATATTTATTTTAAAACTTAACATAGACTTTTTGACTAATTAACAAATAAATTTACATTATTACAGAAGGGGAAAGACACCAGCTTTCCCAATGCGTGATGCATCTTACTTGCTCAGCGAAAAAAGCAGTCATTGTCATGTGTGTCGATCCTCGTTTCGAGTTATTCCACATACAGCAGAATTTTCAAAATGGAATTTAATTACATACTAATAATTACTGCTTGATTTTCTTTTACATTACATATTTGCAATTTTGTTTTCATGCAGTGTTTGTTTTCCTGTGTATAGTTATAGTTTTCTGCATGTTTCGTTTATTTCTATTAATGTGGTATTCTTTATATTAATGCACATTAAGAAATAGTATATTAAGTATGTAACTTCAAAAATTGAGGTCAGTATATTAAAAAGCTGATTTTATATGAACTTTTTTGTAAAAGAGACTTAACTGCTGAAAATGCGTAGGCCGGTGGCAAAGTTGCATTTTGGAGTGTTCGGTCCCATGGCTGTGCTTCGTTCTCCACACACTGGTCTTCAAAGGGTTAACATCTACTCCAATACTAGTGTATCCTTAGCTTGACAAAGCATTTATTCTTCATACAGATGCATGCAATGATAATGACGGTGCTGCACTGATCCAAGAAACAAACAGTCAAGAACAATTCATGCCATACTGGAATAGAACAAGTCAACATGTCTATCTATATGGCAGAAGGATTACTGTATCAACAGAAAAGAGTTACTCGCCATAGTTAACATCATAAAACATTTCCAGCATTATCTATAGAACAGAAAATTCCTGCATTATCCACCTGGATGTTACAATTCAAAAAATCCAAACATCAAATAGCTAGGTGGATACAGAGACTCCAGGAATATAACATAGTTATCCGTCTTTGAAAGGGATCATCACAGAGAAATCCCAATGCGCCTTCTAGAAGACTCTGCCCAGAAAGCTGCTGATATTGTTCCAGGATCGAAGTGAAATACGAGCTGCCGAATACTGTCACATGATAAGTTTTAACTTCAGCATCGGTTGATCGAGATCAAAGGAGTGAAGAAGTTGTAAAACATTTCCACATTATCTCTACAGCAGAAAATACCTACTCCACACAGATTATACATCGTTTAACTCGCTTTTAAAATTCAAGAATCCCAAGGGCCAAATACCTAAATGAATATAGAGATTCCAGGAATATAACATCACTATCTGTCATCAAAAGGGATCATCTGCCAAAGCCCAGTCTAGAAAGCTACCAATATTGTTCCAGGGTCGAAACGAAATATGACTTGCTTAATCCAGTTGTACATCAAGTTATGAATTCAACATCATCTGAACCAGCCCCATGCAGTGACGAAGAAGTCAGGATTGACCAGTTAGAAAATGGCGGCATTAAATCCATAACTGTTGTAACGGAATCTTCAAACAGGAAACCTACTTGGCAGGATATTTTGATCTTTAGTCCTAAGGCAAAATAAAACTGAGCTTTCTGGGATTCATTGGCTATTCGAAATGTTGTCTTATACGGAAAGTTCAAACTGGATGATGGAAAGGCATTCCGATGACAGCTAATACTTCTAAGATCCTGGATGCTCCTTAAGGAATTACACAGCAGTCCAACAGGATGCAACTTCTGAACAATGAAGACTTTGCATAGAGTTCGAGAGGGCTTCTACTTGAGTAATGCATGGGCTGACGTACAGAAGTGGTACCAATATTGTGATGCCTGTGAGGGACAGAAAGGACCAAAGAAATGCAGCTGAGGGAAAGTGCAACATTACAATGTAGGGTCACCTTTCGAATGAATCATCTTTGATATCCTGGAACATCTGCCATGAACTGTGGATGGCAACAATACATCCGCATTGTCATTGCCTCACCAAGTGATTCACCTTCAGGCCACTTCGTGAAGTGGCAGCTGCATGGCAGCAGAGGTAATGATACAGCATTCGATTTCCAGATTTGGAGTGCCTCTTTTAACTACATTCTGATCAAGGAAGGAATTTTATCTCTTGTAATTAAAGAACTCTGTAGAGCACTTAGCACAGACAAAACCCAAACAACGCTTTTACATCCACAGTCAGAGATCACAGTAGAGAGGTTTAATAGAACCATTCTTAAACACATCTCAATGATGGTTTCCAGAAACCAAAATTACTGGGACCAGAAGTTACCTCTGTTTTTACAGGCCTACCGGCCTTTGGTGGAAAGTTCCAAAACTGTAAAGTGTTTCTTTTGTTAAAAATAAATTTTATCGAGCTATGAGCGGGTGTCTGGGTGCATTCAATCCATTGTGAACCCTTACACACATACCTGTATTAATCACTAGGTGAACCCTAATGAGGATGTGAAATTACATAAGTAGATTCATTTAAAACGTTATATATGTTTCTTTTTTATACAGTCAAAAGTCTTTAATCCGGACCTCAAAGCTACAAACTTTCTGCTCATGCGCATAAAAATACATTTTGCAGACAGTTAGAGCAATTTTATAAAAGCTGGAACTTTCGATTATGTAAAAAAGAATTTCTGATTATGGAGCTGCCAAAGGGTCTACAAAACGAAAGCATGTTTCGATGTCCATCAAACAAAAAGTGGAATTGCTGCAAAAAAGTGGATAAAGGCATATCCTTTGTTTCTCTAACCATTCCGAAATCTATCAATTTCATGCTACTCTATGGGGGGGGTCACTTAAATCAAATTCCTCGTCATTATAAATATCACAAATACACATCAAATAGTTTTCTGGTTGCAATTTTCTAATTTCGGCTAGGCGTAAGGTACGCATGCGCGAGGTTGAAAGAAATGTTTAAAAAAGTAAACAAATAAATATTTAGTTTTGATACCCTTTAGATAATAATTGTTCTTTATTTCAGAAATTACAGTTTCATATTTTTAATTTTATAATTTCTGCATGCCATCTTACCAGATTTAAACTGATAATCTATAATCCAGAAAAACCAATAATACGGAATCGCCGAAGTCTCGACGAGTCCGGATTAAAGACTTTTGACTGTAATAACTATTTTAGATGGTGAGCTGTGAACATTGTTAGTATTTAAAAATAATCAAATTCCATAGATTCTTAATAATTATTGCAAGAGCAAAATACATAGCTCCATACAAATTTATGATATGAATATAACAGGGTTGCCACTCAAACAAGGGAATGAAATTCCCCAACGTTTCCAGGTACGTTTCAAGAAAATTTCAATCTATCCGCACAGTGCACGTTGGCTGTGCTGAGAGGTAAATTAATTATGGTACCACTTGAAAACAAAACAAAACAAAATTGCCAATTGCATATAATTCCCAAAGCATTACTATTATAACTATAATAGGAGTTGTTTCCTCCACTGATGATTGAGATTAGAATCTGCCCAATCTAGATTAAAAAATGCACTTTTTTGCAGACATTTTGCAGCTAAATGAAAAAAAGGAATCTATTTAATGATATTTTTAAATAAATTTAGGTATTTTATATTTATTTAGCAGCATACACAAGCAAAAAATATGTGCATTAAATTTCGTGATGGTATGCCATCATACTGCTAGAATTAGTTTCAGAATTATGCCAGAGAAAATTGTCTGAAATTTAAATGTATTATTAACTACTAATAAAATAAATTTAGAAGGAAGAAGCAACATTAAATGATATAAATAACATTAAAAAATAAAGTTAATTACTTAAAAATTTAATAACAAAAATGAAAAATTTTTTGGCGACTATAGTTATATTAAATAGTTAGCCTAGATGATTGATTACTATTTTTTTATTATTATTTTGCTGCAAAATGACAAATAAGGCATTTATTAAAAAGAAAAATAAAAGGTTTAAAAGATTTTGTGGTAAAATCCCAGTATACGCTACGGCCTTGGCACGATTTTGAAAACTGTAGCCAACACCAAAATGACCTATTTACTGTTCATCATAACGCTGCCAAATCTCATGTATACCATTACTAGGATTAAACCGATTTTGTTTTATACAAGAACGGGAAGGTATTTTCTTTCGTTCAACATGCACTGCACATGCGAGTCTCTTGATTCTTGAGGTTACTGAAAACTTTCTTTGTCTTTCTAAAAGACAATTTGATTGGAGTTGTAGAAATGACTCTACGCCAGCTGCTTGAATGATTCTCACACAAAACTTAATTCCCCAAGAAAGTAATTGCTTTCAACGTTGGCGCAAAACTCACTTTTTGGGGGATTGCCATGTGAAATTCCCTGACAGTTCCAGATTCTGACTAAAATATTTAAATTCCGACTTTTTTGGTCAATTTTCGAATTCCCTGACTTTTTCAGGTTTTCTAAGTAGCTTGGCAACCCTGATATAAACAAAACTAACTTAAGTATAATGACATGTAATAAGCATCTCACTAATTTAATTCCATAAGCCTTTTAATCTTTTACAAGAAGCACATACATAATTATAGCACAAAACTGTTTACCTAGTTGTTGAAGCATGAGCAATAATATTTCCTCCAATGGGTTTCTTGGGATCTGCAGTAAACATTGAAGCCCCATCTACTTGTGCAACGACTTGATTGGTTATGACAACTGCAACACCGAACTAAATACAAATAATGTAACTTTATTCATAAAAGATATATTACATTTTGGATGAAATTTAATACTTATAAATTATTTCAAAAATAATTTTAATAAAACTATATAAATTTAAAAATAATTTGAAAAAATAGGGCATATAACAAGAAATATCATAAAACATTTATGGCAGAGTGCATTTGCAAAGTGTTCACAGCACTATTAATAAAAAACAATGTTTTTCTATAATAAGAAATTCAGACAATTTGTGATTTTACATATAAAATTAATACATACCTCATCAGCAAGCCTTAAAAGCATTCTTAAAAATTTTGCTAAATGCATCTGTCTTGAAGCAAGCTCTCCTCTTCCAGAATAATCTGTTCTGTATAGTGCAGTAGCACTGTCAACAATCAATAAAGCATACCTAAGAAAAGAATACAAATTGTTTACCTCTTAAAAAAAATTAATTTAAAATTAGCAGATAACTTCAATTTGCCTGTTAGAAATTAACATATATCACTGTTTAATTCTTTGCAATTTGGGTTTTTATTTATTTATTTATTTATTTTATTATTTGGGTTAACTATTTTGGGTTTTTAGAAAAAAGAAAATTAGACATTTCTACTTAAATTAAAAAAAAAAAAAAAAAAAAAAAAAAAAAAAAAAAAAGAGGCTCAAAATGTTAAAAAATATCAATCAAAAAGTCATAAGTTGACTTAAATATCTTTGACCACAGAACATTACTGCTCTGAGAATGTGCCAATTTAAAAATAATGTCTTATAATAAAAAATTTTTATTTTAACATTAGCAGAATGAAAACATAGTATTACATATTGTAAAAATCTAATGTGCCCACAACTTGACTTCTTTATATAGAATATTAAACTACACACATTTTTTTCTACATTTCATTTAAACAGGGTTCGTACACATTTCTGTGCACAGAAATTAAATACTTTTAATGAAAAAAATTAAGGACCTATAAACAAATGGGAACTGCATAAATTCAATTAAAAATATTATTTTTGCCTGAACTTAACTTTTGTAATACCATTCTAAAAGTAAAATAGATCCATAAGTATGATGCATTATTATTAAACATGAGTTAACATACTTATTAATAAGTTTGAGAATAAAATAAACTTTATGAAATTTATCGTTTCCTGTAGATTTTCTTAATTTTTTCATAGTAAGAGTGATTGTGTAGTTGTCTCAGAATTTTCACAATACAATATGGATCAGTTTTCTCTATAAAATTAATTTTACATTCCCAGTTAATATACTTTAAGGTTCCAATAAGCCACTACAGCACCTAAAGTTGTAGGGGTAGGGTTTTCCTTATTTTGCATAAATTTATTTAAAATTTGATACCTGTACTAGACTTCTCAATTTCCCCTCACATTCTCTCGCCAGGATGTAAATTTAAAGTTAAGTGAAGTGCTTATTTAAACGGACGAATCTCTCAACTTATTCAAAGCATATTTCACTAGCCAAGCACACATTTCGTTGTTATTTTTCTGTTACGCTAGTAGGCCTTCTTATCAGATTTAGCATCAAGCCGGTTAGGTTCTTGTGGGTCCACTCTTAGGCGTAACTTAAGTGCTTTCTTGCACTATTTATTTTAGGTTTGATTTAAACTATATTTTATGTTTTGGTTTTCACTGCAAATTGACGGTGCTTTTTGTAGCACACAAAGACTGTACCTTTCTGTTAACGATTTTGAATTAATGAAGAGTTATTTTTACCCTTCTTCTCAGTCAGTAGTTTTATTCACGCCTGTGCGAGAATCCACCAGGTCATTATAAGGTCTATTCTAGTTTACTTGGAAAAGAAGAGAAAGTATAAGGTGATAAGTTATTTTGTAATGTCTTACTAGATGCAAAGAATAAGTTTTACATGAATTTTTACATTTTGTGTTTTATCTTGTGACCACAGTAAGGAATAATGAAGGGCAATAACTCGCTTTAATATGCAGAGGTAATATTTAAGTCTAAGCAGTTAGTTAAGAATAATTAAATTAGATAGTTAGACAATCTTAGTCATTATGGATTTACAAGACCACTATAAAATTTTATTTATTTTTTAATGGTATTTGTTAATAAAGCCCTATTAAAACTACTATTTAATAAAATTTCATAGTTTGAAATACATGCAATTTATGACATTGACTCTTAAATGAACGTTTTGTAACAGCAACACTCAACAAAATATTTTTACGTCTTTTGAAGCCATCCGAGATAGTTTAGCTAATTTATATCGATTTCCTTAAGCAACTTTTCTAACAATCAAAAATTCGTCTCAATACGCAAACCAGTGTTCTCACTAGTTTCTGTGTGCTTTATACCCCAACTTGTCAATATCTCCACAATATATTGATGAGGATTTACTTGATCTGATAAAAGTTAAATAGTCCAAAACCCCCTGACAGATATGAATCAAAATATTGCTAAGTCTGAAAGTAACTACAATGCCAGACAAAGGTTTAAATAAGCCTCTTATTTAAAAAGAACTTAAAACATAAAGTCGTGCTCTGATGCTAACAAAATCAGTTACAGCTCATGGCGATGTAATTAAAAAAGAACAGTCAAATTCAAACTAAAAATGTGGACTAATGATCAAGGACTATACAGTTTAGTTTTAATTTAAGCTGACTTGGTAACTCTATCATAAGAGGAAATAGAAATGGGAAATGATAATAAAGTCTGAAATCATAAAACACTGTGTAGCTTACAAAATAAAAACTGTCCATATCTTTGAAGAATCATTCTCTTTATGTATTCAGTTTCTTTCTTCATCACATTTCCTTTTCATTTTAGAAGTTTTGGATTTAATTAAGTATTTCTGTTATTCTAAAAACAAACCTAAATGTACAGAAAAAGCTGCTAATTTTATTTCTTTAGCAATATAAACATTGAGAAGAAATATATGAAATATATATGGTAAGGGCTGGTTACAGAGCTGGTGTGGCAGAATTTTTAGAATTTAGAGACACATTGGCTTTGGAAGCAGAATTTAGAAAAGAGCTAGGATGCAGAATTTAGGATCCACATAGACTGCATCAGGTCGGAAAACGCCTAGTGCCAGCTCTGTGTATGATACATTAAGACATATTAGATGAATCTTTTAAATTTTAAGTTTTATTAATAAAAAATTCCTTTTTATAATGCCTGTCCATGAGATAAGATTAGAAGCATTTTTGATATTTTCCATGCTTCTGGCTAGTGAAAAGTAGAAAAAATATAGAGAAGATAAACATGTTAAGAAAAGATTCTAGTATTAGAAGAAAAATGTTCAAATATTATGTTTTCATTGTTCTTCCAGACATTCTGCTCTTAATAATAAAGTCATCGCAAACTTTCTGTAAACTACATCCATTATTTGTTAATGCCATAGAGATATTTTTCATTTTGTCACATATATTTCTGGAATCTTCTACAACCGTGGGTCTACAAATCTTGCCTTCAAATCCTTCTAAACTTTCCCAGCTGTAATGTCTAAAACCCTAAAGAAAAATTATCTCTACCAATTCTGTAACGGCAAAAAGCCAGAAGTATTTTGATAAAAGAAGGGGGGAATGTAAAATTAATTTTATAGAGAAAACTGATCCATATTGTATTGTGAAAATTCTGAGACAACTACACGACAACTTTTACTATGAAAAAATTAAAAAGACACTTTTAATTAATTCTATAGGTAATTTTACTTCTGCTAAGAACTGTTTTGTAAATTGTGCTTTATAGCATTATACCTTGTTTATTTTTCAGATTCAAAATATTGTATAAGTTGGCAAAATGCAACTTTATGTCAGTGAAAACTAAAAACGTTGTATTTTTATGTTATTTTTTAAATATAACTTCAATACATTACCATTATTTTAATGAAATTTACCAATGTTACAATGTTTTAAAAAAATCGTCGGAAAATTTCCAGATCTCGGAATTTAAAATTTTCGATAGAAAATTATTTTAAAATCGCCAAAATGTTGATGAGTAGGCAAATTTAGAACCATTTAGTAAAAGAATTCACATCCTTAACCCCTTTGTGCCAACTATCACGTCTACATGCCAGCAACAAACACACTCACTTCCCGGCCGACATGCAGGCGTGCCAGAGCATTTTCCCGTTCAGCCCCGACTGTCACGTATTTGTGCCAGTGTCCTGGAACGTTTTAAAAACTATAACTTCTGCCACAAGATGGCACTGTATGTCCATATGGTTTCAGATACATGTACATTAGACCTTCTACTCGAAATGAGAGAAGCATGAGTCACATACACACGTTTTTGATTATATAAACAAAAGGGGAAATAAATGTTTCCAAATGGTGTGATTTATGACGTCTCTTTATAAATTCGCACATGGTAGTTGTTTATTGTAAGTAGAGAAGTTTTATTTTCGCTAAAGCGTTGGGTATTTCGGTTTGCAGTTCAGTTTTTAGAAAATAATTAGATCTTGTTAGACGTGAATTCTTTCTGTTTTTGCCGTTGTAATGTTGAAGCGTCGAAAATGTTTAACAAAGCATGAAATACCATAAATGATACAAAATATTTCAGATATTGATTATGAAAGATTAACTGAAAGACATTTTCCAAAACTTTGTTCAGAAGAGACTGATAAGAAAATGAGACGACGATGCTTCGTTTGTTCACATTTCCGGAAAAATCGTCCAAAACAGCAAATGAGTTATTACGAGTGCAAGGAATGTAACGTAGGACTGTATATAGATCCCTGTTTTCAAATTTTTCATACGAAAAGAGAATTTTAAGTAATATATTTAGTTTTCAGATGTATAATGTTAAAAGTCATAAAATGGTGAGTAATGAAAATAAAATGTGTAAAATATGCATTTAAACAAGAAATAAGGTAATTAAAGTATATATAAAAATATCTTTAAAGCATAAGCCGTTTAAATACTCTATAGAGCATTATTAAACAATGCATTGCTACTTCGGAAATTTCATGGATTTAGGCTTAATAGCAAAAAAGCCCCCGGCCCTGGACAGACGCTCACGTAAGACACTGCCGGCCTCCGTGATAAGCGCGCGTTTTCGCTACCCGGCTCGAAGGGGTTAAAAGTTGTTTTCGCAAGAGCTCTTCATTGGATAAAATGAATTTCGAAATGCTTATGTTTCACTTCTTGCTTAGAAACTCAAGTATCCCACCACCACTTACATTAGAGATAGGAACAAATTATAACCCATTCAAAAGGTAACCATATATGTCAGTGAATCGCAAAAAATATTTCTGCTAATTCACGCTCAACTCTGCTAATTCCAAAATGCTAATTCACACTCAAAGCGGCAGTCGAAAAAACAGACAGAAATTTTAGATGATTAAAAATTAAGGGCCTTCTGCCGATTTTGGTCAAAATTAAAGACTTTTAAGGACCAAAAATCGATTCCAAAAAATCTAAAGACTTTAAA